GCCTGGCCGCCGCGCGTGATGACGTCACGGCGCCGCTGATTGCTGCTTCGACCAGCGATACAACAGCCAGCCCGGCCTCGCTCAACTGGGCCGACAGCGAGATGGCGGAGGTGGACGCCAACGAAGGCTTCACCGTTGTCAAGACCAAGAAAAGGCGCCGCACTTCATCGCCGGAGCACGCCACAAAGCAGCCTGGCAGGCCTGCTGAGAAGCCCAGCTCCCAGCAGCAGAAGCGGCCAACTGGGCCGAAGTCAATGCCGCCCCAGGAAATCAAGGCGACGCGCGCCAACATCGCCGCAGCCAGGGCGAGGCAGGACACCACCAACCACGAGAACTACATCTTCGTGGAGCTGTGCCCTGACATCCCGGACTATTCCTACCTCAAGGCAATTGGCATGCTTGTCGGAGGGCCAGGAGAATAAGCCAATTTAACAGAATGAACGGACACTACGTCGTGGGCCTCGCGACCAAGGACCAAGCGAGCCGTCTGGTGGAGGCGGGCCTTGACATCGACGGAACCCACCTGAAGGTCTTCCCCTTCCGAAAAAGGGCAGAACGCATCGTCATCGCAAATCTGCCCGGCTTCGTCGAGGACAGCGCCATCGTGGAGGCCCTGCGCAACTTCGGCACCGTGACCTCCATCGCCCCCATCATGATCAAGATGGGGGAGTATACCTTCAACGACGGCCGCCGGGAGGCGTTCATCCTGCTCCGCGAGGGCGTACGGCTGGAGTCGCTGCCCACCAGAATGACCATCAAGTCCAAAGGAGACACCCTGTCTGCCTTCCTCTCCTTTGCATCAAGTGCTCGAAATGCGGGAAACAGGGCCACCGCAGAGCCAACTGCCCAGCGCTTGCCAGGCAAGGGAACGGCAGCCCCAGGCAAACAGCGACTCCCACCGACGCTAGGCCTCCCCCCCCTCCTCCTCCTCCTCCTCCTCCTCCTCCTCAGCAGCCAAGGAGGCCGGCACCTGCGCCCCGCAACACCGGCGTCCCCTGTCCAACCGGCGAAGACACCAACCGAGGCTCCAGCGATCCCCTCGGCGCCCCATCCTGCCGAACCGAAGGATCTTTCCCAGCCCGCTTCTGTTACCCTCCCTGCTCCTATGGCTGCCCCTCGGCCCCTCGAGCCCGCGATCCTCCCGCTCGACATCGAGATGTCGGAGGAGGAGCGGACCTCAACTCCCTCCACGCCTTCCAAGGGAATACCCGCAATCATCCAGCTGCGAGAGCATCTCGAGAAGCTCCCCTCCATTGCCATCAACCACTCCGGGCTGCTCGGCCTAGACTGGGAGGACGCACAGAAGCTCCTCGCCTCTCCCACCAACATGAAGAAGCGAGTACCCTCGTTGCTGGAAACACAGGTCACCGCCTTCACTGAGCTGGCCAAAATCATCATGGACTCATGCCCTAACTCGAGCACCCTTGTTTACAAGACCCTCCAGAAGACCAGGACGGTGCTGCTTATTGGACGGCCCAAATGAGTTCTCTTTGATATGTAACATTGTCTAGAAGACAATAAATAATGTTTAATTGTCATTGTCACACACACACACAACACACACACACACACACAGAATATTTTGATAATAATGATAATAATATTCGTTGCGTTATATATTTATATAAAATATAAAATATATTTTTCGAGCAAACATATCCACTCTCTCTACTGAATATATTTTAAAAAATATATATATAAATAAAAAATATCTAGAGATAAACTATATGATCTTAGCCAAAAGGCCGAGAAACGATATTTTATATATAGAGATGACCTGGCTTCGTGTGTCTTCTGCTCGAGTGAATGTTTCGCAGGTAGAATTTTGTTCCTGACTACTGAAAATTATTATCTGGCTTCGCCCGTGGTCTGTTTTAGTGAATATTCCCCTAAAGAATTTTGTTTATGTCAATCAAGCATGATACAGCAATATTGTCATCATCATTTCTGACTAAAAAAATATTGTTGCTCAGTACCTGGTTAATTATAATTTTTCTTGGTTAAGCGCGACAAAAACTCTTCCAGATTTAACTCTCTGTCCTGTTCAAATTTCAGCGAGATTAGTTACATATTGAGGGCGTGCATAGCCGACAAACATATTTATATATGTTCCCGGCTTTGCCGGTTTTATCCTAGTAAAAGTTTGCCTAACGAACATTTGTTAAAACGATTCTAGCAAACATTCAATCCCTATATTGAATATACACTTGTCTATACTCTCGATAATTTGAATTTTTTTTTCCAGGTCCCTTTAAAAATACTCGATAAGTTGAATAAAATCAATATTAAAATTGGTCCACTCGGTAATTTGAAGTTGAAGGAATAGTATCTTGCCACAAACGAACATTTGTAAATAACTGTATTCAGCGAATGTACCCGGCTTCACCCGGTTTTTACCCGAGTAAACGTTTCCATAAAGAACATTTGTTAAAACGATTCTAGAAACATCCAATCCACCTATATATATATATTTTTTTTTTGCTTATCCCTAGTACATGTGGTACAGGCCATAATAATCATGGTGGAGGTAGTTAGCGGCCTGCTTTTTTTTTTTTTTTACTGTAAGCGCACCACATGTCTACACATGTGGAAAAGCAGCAACATTGTTATATGTTTGAATATATTTTTGGAACATAATTTTTTTTAAACATTTATTAATTTTCAAATAAGACATTGTCACGTTGTGAGGGGATTTTATAATTAATTATTTCTTTTTTTTCAATGAATTATGCATATTAATTTGGAAAATTCATTTTTTGTTATCATCTTCACATACAATGTAATTTTTAAATAAACAAACGATAAAAAACAACAACAATTAGAGTTGCATCTTCGTTATTATAAAACAACAGCAAATTAAATTAACAATGTAAAAATATAAATTAACATTACAACATTCTAACATTTAACACAAAAACGTTACAATATTTTCTTTAAATATATATTGATATTGAAATGCAAAGTTTTTTTCACGTCTTTGGATATAAAATTACTATATTTCTAATTACATTTATTATTCTTGGAACACATTTTAGAATTTTTACAATTTATAATTGTAATTTCACCAGAAGCCGCGAGAGGCGCTGCCTGCGAGTGAAAGTAGAAAATTGCAAATAAAATGGCAAAGAATATTTATTTCAAAATCGAATTCAAACCGGAATTCTTCCCAGTAGTATAGTAAATAACTTCCTAAGTTTCACGGCGATTGGATAATCTTACCTTTTAAAAACATCATCGTGTGCACAAACTAACAATTCAACGTGTAAACAAACCACGTGTTAATTATTATCCAATCAAATTCATGTATCGTCGCGACCAGTGCGGCGCCAAGCGGTTATAAAGATGGAACTATCGCTTGTTGGTTTTTTATTAAAAAAAAAAGAAGATTAACTTTTTTAGTTTTTTTAATAGCCTATATGTTAAACGAACTCTTTGCTACCTACATGCGAAAATGATTCATTGTATTGCAATACATCCAGATGGCACAAGAAACTATAGAGCATGTAAAAACTGTACTGGTGTGGAACTAACACCTACCCACATATTCTCATGCCAGCAATGGCCGCAGCCTTGCAGAAAATTGACATAGACCCAGCAGCAGGATTTACACACCCAAGATAGTGGATATTGCTGCTGCTGTGATGGAGATGCATGGATACATCTGATACTCTTCTTTGGACACGAAAACAAACAACAGAAAATTGACTTAGACCCAGCAGCAGATTACACACCCAAATAGTGGATATTGCTGCTGCTGTGATGGAGATGCATGGAGACATCTGAGGCTCTTCTTTGGACACGACAACAACAACAGAAAATTGACATAGACCCAGAGCAGCAGATTTACACACCCAAGATAGTGGATATTGCTGCTGCTGTGATGGAGATGCATGGATACATCTGATACTCTTCTTTGGACACGAAAACAACAACAGAGAAATTGACTTAGACCAGAGCAGCAGATTTACACACCCGAGATAGTGGATATGCTGCTGCTGTGATGGAGATGCATGGAGACATCTGAGGTCTTCTTTGGACACGACAACAACAACAGAAAATTGACATAGACCCAGAGCAGCAGATTTACACCCCAAGATAGTGGATATTGCTGCTGCTGTGATGGAGATGCATGGAGACATCTGATACTCTTCTTTGGACACGAAAACAACAACAGAAATTGACTTAGACCAGAGCAGCAGTTTACACACCCGAGATAGTGGACATTGCTGCTGCTGTGATGGAGATGCATGGAGACATCTGAGGCTCTTCTTTGGACACGACAAACAACAACAGAAAATTGACATAGACCCAGAGCAGCAGATTTACACACCCAAGATAGTGGATATTGCTGCTGCTGTGATGGAGATGCATGGAGACATCTGATACTCTTCTTTGGACACGAAAAACAACAACAGAAAATTGACTTAGACCCAGAGCAGCAGCTTTACACACCGAGATAGTGAACATTGCTGCTGCTGTGATGGAGATGCATGGAGACATCTGAGGCTCTTCTTTGGACACGACAACAACAACAACATTATGATTTATTAGTGCGCATCTGTTATGATAAATTGAAACTATATTTTGACTCGTATGTTTCTTTTTAAGTATATCATTGTTTTACTTTTTAAAGGTAATAATACGCATAAAAATAATTTAAATCTCTTATATATTATTTTATGATATATACATTGAGTGCCATGTTATGATAATTCGAAACTATTATAGACGCGTATGATTCATATAAAATTAAACAATTTTCTACTGTCCCCTTACTGCAATGGAAAACTATATTTGAAATGTGTCTAATACTTTGGCCAATATTTATATATATTTTATTTATACATTTTTAGATTAATTTTGAATTATATAGGGAAAAATATATTTTAAGAAACTGATAATTTATATTATGTTGAAATTGCCAGACACTTCTTTAAATCACACGCCGCATTATATTGTATTATAAATTACTTTATGTATTATTTACGAACAGAAAATATGTCCAGGGTAGCCTAGTGGGCATGGCATCTGCTCGGTAAGCGGAACACTGTGGGTTTCGTTCCCATCCTGGACAC